AAAAGCATCGCCCATGCCAATGGCGGTGTCTACTACACGTGTACTTACATATTCCCATTGTTCTTTCGTCAGCCCAAACACACCGGTAATGTCCCTCGGGAACGCCCAATTCTTTGCATCGTAATGAGTGACTTTGACCACAGTATCTTCGTTGTCGTACATGGCCCTGTACACCATGTTCCGGATGCACTGTAAAAAGTTGATATAATAACGCTCGCGCTCTACCTCTGCATCGTTCAACTCATCCTGCAGCATGAGGCCATCCGATTTTGGCAACTCGCTCATGATGACAAACTCAATCTCTATCTTACTCTTGGGGCGACGCGCCAGGTACTCTACGAGTCCGTCTAGATAATTCCAGGTTATGCGCAGGAAGCGCTGCTCGTATGCGTATTGATCGAAGAAACATCGCCTCATCGGAAGTTCCTGGAGGAAATGCTCAAACTTGACCCGGACTTGCAGACGCCGTATGTGTTCTGCTGCAAGGAATGGCGGCACATCCCCAACGCTCGGAGAGTGAATAGGAGAAAGACCATCCTCCCCCTTCTCCCAGCTATAACAGCAAGTTTCCCGGCCTAGGAAATTGTTAAGAGCATCCTCGACGGTGCATATAGAGAAGGTGTTCCGTGTGTAGTACACCTTCTGCATCTCATGCGACACTAATGGGCCAACGTATCTGTGGTCCAGGAAATGACTGCTAGGAAGCACCATGTCGCTAGGCGGCTTATGGGTGTGCTTTTCCTTGACTCGGCCATCTGATAGGATGGTATAGTTGCTACCTAATGCCGCCTCTTCTTGGTCTTCGTCGACATGCAAGCGGGACACGCGCTCAACGAGCTCGGGGTCTACTTGCAATTCATCACCCCAGTTGACTGGCCGCCTGCGTGCTATTGGTGCGCTGTTGCCGGGTGCACCGGATGCTGACCCTATGACGGCATTTTTTTCGAGCATGTCGGGTTCCGGTTCCCAGTCCGTCTCGGCTTCTGGAGGATAGACGTACGGCTTGTCATATGGACGGAAATGATAGTAGGGGCCAACTGGAATCGTACGGTCGGCGTCTACACAGAGATACTCGTACACCATCTCACGTACTTCGACAGGGAGCTTCTCATACATCATGCTTGCCAGCTGAAGGCAGTCGGTCCGAGCATAGTAAATGATGGTTTTTAGGTAGTCAGCCTGGAGGCCTTTTACTTCTTGTTCGGCTTCAGCAAGTTGACGCTTCAGCCGTGCAACTCTGTTCATGCGTTAGTCACACATGTACAAGTATATAGACAGACTAAAAAAAAACTATGCGCTACGGTCGGCTGAGCATTGGTAGTTGTTCTAGATATTCCTTTCTTGGGCTCGATACAAGTGGACTTGCGCTAGTTGGGCCAACTCACTCATCCTGCTTTTTTTGAGACTGCGCCTGCAGGTAACGCAAAGGCCTCTGCAGTTGCGCAAGGTCGCTTGAGACGCTCATTGTATGCAATCAAACGCGAGAGCACATGTGCATGCACCTACATGCAACTAAATCCATGAATATGTATGGAAGTATGAGATAATAGCGGCGAACCGAAGCGAGCCGGAGGAGGGATGCAATTGTGACCCCACATGCTACTAGCGCGGATGAGCCTACTGGCCCGCTCCCCGACGCGTCGCGCGTCAGTCAGTCAGTCAGTCAGTCAGTCAGTCAATCAATCAATCAAGTAGGCTGTCTGTGAGTGAGCGCTCACTCTGGACATGGGCTGAATTGATATGGCCACAATCAAGGCCATAGAAAGCCGCTCTGTGCACCACATACAGTCGGGCCAGGTCATTGTCGACCTACAGTCTGTCTGCAAGGAGCTGGTGGAAAACAGCATCGATGCAGGCGCCACGGCCATTGGTATGTCCTTGCCACGACACTCTCGACCAAATACGGCGGCAGTCAGCTGATGCCCAGCGTAGAGGTGCGCTTCAAGAACTACGGCCTCGACACCATAGAAGTCCAGGATAACGGCTCTGGCATCTCGCCCGAAGATTACCAAACCATTGCCCTCAAGCACTACACCTCCAAGCTTGCCACCTACGACGACCTCACGTCACTGCAGACTTTCGGTTTCCGTGGCGAGGCATTATCATCGCTATGTGCCCTTTCCAAATTTCACATCATCACAAGCCGAGCCTCAGATGGGCCAAAGGGCACCAGACTCGACTTCGAGCAGTCGGGCAAGCTCAAGGGAACATCGGTCGTGGCTGCTAAGCAGGGCACTACTGTCGTGGTCGACACTCTGTTCCACAATCTACCCGTCAGGCGAAAGGAACTCGAGAAGAACATCAAGCGCGAATACAACAAGGTCCTACAGATATTGAATGCATATGCGTGCATAAGTGTTGGGGTCAAGTTTTCAGTCAGCAATCAGATACCCAAAGGGTCAGTGGGGACCGATAGCATATGCATGCATTGCCGATTGTACTGACACACATCCAAAGGAAGAAAACAATAGCCTTTGCAACCAATGCAAATTCCAGCACGCGGGACAACATCTCCAATGTGTATGGTGCAAAAACAGTGACCGCTCTCATACCCCTCAACCTCGAGTTCATCATGGACCCCTCCAATAGGCCGGGCGCCACACAAAGCATCAAGGTCTCGGACGCACAAGAAGACATAGCATCGCGGACTGTCAAGATAGTAGGTCACATATCCCGTCCAGTCGTGGGCGAGGGTCGTCAGACGCCAGACAGACAAATGTTCTTTGTAAACTCGCGGCCCTGCAACCTGCCTCAGGTTTCCAAAGCATTCAACGAAGTCTACAAATCCTACAACATCACACAGTCTCCTTTTGTCTTTGCTGACATCAAACTTGACACAAACGCCTACGACGTCAATGTAAGCCCAGATAAACGCACAATCATGCTCCACGACCAAGCTGTGCTCCTGGAGAATATCAAAGACTCATTACTTGAGTTGTTCCAAGGACATGAACAAAGTGTGCCTCAGTCCCAGCTGCTAAAAAATAAAATACCGACATCTGCCTTTAAACCTCCTACGATCCAACCTCGTGAAAGCACCAAGTCTGTACAAGAAAGCGACCAGAGCGATTCAGAAGACTCGGATGGCGATGGGGTGGTGATACAAGAGAGCTCTAAAAGAGTTCCGACGCGCGACATACCTGATGTGGTTAACCGTCCCGGATTTGTGAAAGCGAGCCTTCTCGAACGATTCCCTGGCCACGACTCTGAAGACCACACGACTCGTCCACCACATAGCCTTGCAAGAGACAGTTCGCTGCATAATGATGAGGGCCATCCATTCGAGGCGGCTCGTCCACGATCACAATCTCCATTATTTGAACCCGAGGTAAACGCAGATAATGATGCTGCTGCTGAGCACCCGCAGCTCCCCAAGGCCATTCAAGATTTCAATGCACGTGTGGCGTCTCAGAACCCTCGCTCGGTGGGACTAACACGCCTATCAGTGTCTGCTGAACCTGATCAACAAGGCGAAGGTGCAGAACAGCCAGTCCCAGCGATAAAGCAAACTCCCCAGAAGCCGTTATCGCAAAGTACCATTCAGAATGCTTTTGATCGTATGCGCCCCATGCGAACACCGGTTCAGCAAGCCACAATAACTGTTGGAGATACTACAACTGTCTCTACAATTGGTACTGGTAGCCATTCGGTAGCTTCACGGCGATCGAGGATACACATTCCCAAGTCTTCTTCTACCAAGTCATTAGATCAGACGCCAAATAAAAGCTTGCTCAAGAAGGGCTTGGGCGGGTTCGCCGCACCAGGCACACAATTGAAGAGCAGTGACGAGGATGCGGATGAGGATGAAGACGAAGACGACGAGGGTGAGGGTCACAATAACACGACCCATATGCCAATACGCTCTCCCTCTCCTGTCAAACGCTTACTATCTAGAGTACTTGAGGGGCCACATATCAACAACCCGACTGCCTTATCCCGTGCTTCTACAGATCGCTCATTGTCGATCTCTGACGGACCCTCGGATACTGAGCCTGTTGGTGTTGTTGAAAAAGAACCAGGGGCAGCTGGCGGAGATTCGGACGATGAGTATGAAGATGATACCGAGAAGAAGGCCAGAGAGGAAGCCAGGTTTACTAAGCTAATTGTGGAGGCTGAAGAGACTGCGGCTCAGCCCAGTGAGATGAGCCTGAAGCGTGCCGACAAGCTCTTTACGGGTACACAAAAGAAGTACTGGACTATCAACCTGAGACGCGTCATCAAGACCAATATCGAATCGATTGCCCGCCATGCACAGCACATTCAACCCTCTATCGATGCGTCTCGAGCAGAAGTTGATCAAACGGCAATACTGTCTACTGATGCCCAGTCAAACGGAGAAGAGGCAGAAGAACGCCTCAGTCTAACAGTAACAAAAGCTGACTTTGGAAAAATGCGCATCATCGGTCAATTCAACCTAGGCTTCATCATAGCCGTGCGACCCCCAACCTCAACATCGCCAAACTCTCACCTCTTCATCATCGACCAGCATGCCAGCGACGAAAAATACAACTTTGAACGCCTCTCCGCAACCACCAAACTCGTCTCCCAGCGTCTCGTGCACCCCCACCCCCTCGAACTAACCGCCGTAGAAGAAGAAATCATCCTCGCAAATCAATCCACCCTAGCCGCCAACGGCTTCGTCGTCGAGCTCAACCCTACATCCGACACCGAACCCCAGCCCGGCACCCGCGCAAGCCTCACCTCCCTCCCCATGTCCAAAGAAGTAACCTTCACCCCGTCCGACCTCGAAGAGCTCCTCTCTCTCATCCTCGACAATCCCCCTTCCTCCTCCACTTCCTCATCCTCAGCATACATCTTGCGTCCCTCCAAAGTCCGCAAGTTACTCGCTAGCCGCGCGTGCAGGAGCTCGGTTATGATTGGCAAGACGCTCAAGACGCAGCGTATGCGTGAGATTGTGAGACATATGGGGGGTATGGATAAACCGTGGTCGTGTCCGCATGGACGGCCGACGATGCGGCATTTGTTGGATTTGGAGAAGTGGGTGGGGTGGAGGGAGGGGGAGGGGGTTGTGGGGGTTGAGGTCAAAGGAGAGAAGACGGATTGGGGGGAGTATTTGAGCAAGAGTAGGGGGTGAGGTAGATGTGTGGGGTTGTAGATGAGGTGGTCTGGGCAGGGTGGATTATAGGGATACTGTTTGTATTGGGGGTTGGCAGTGGTATAGTAGTGTAGTTGTGGCTATAGAACCCTATCGTTATCAAACTATCGTTGGAGCCATGAATTATTTAGCTAGGGATGCTGCATCGTTTTGCCAACAGTCGAGTCGTCTGTTTGCTGTTTGACATTTTGCGGTGTTCATTTACTTTCCAGGCTACATTCTTTCCATCAGTAAATGGTCTTAGCCGTTCACACGCCCTCTCTCATCTTTCACACTACCAGATTTATATCCCCAGCTCTAAGAACATCCATCCCCTACCCCCCAATTCCTCACTATCTCGTTTCCACTCCACACACGTTGCAATCCCACTGCGTTTGCCATTCCCCACATCAACCCCCAACGCACAACAGCAAACGCTTGCTAGCCAACAAACTCTGTTCTTCCTCCCTATACACAATCCCGCTATAATCTTCTCTCTTTCCACTTTCCCTTCTCTCCAGCGCAAAAAACAACAACAAAACAGATGCACACTAACTCACCATGCAAGCACCACAGCCCACCACATCCACCCCCGACTTCTCCTGGCCGCACTCCAAACCCTTCTGGATAATCCTCATCACCGCCTCTTGCATCCTTCTTCTCCGAATCCTCTACAAGCTCTATCAGAACCTGGAGTACAGACGGCGACTTCGCGGTCTACAGAACATTGGACTAGAGGGGCGAGTGCAGACAGAACAAGGCACGGATATGCAAGCGGGAGGGGAATATAGTGTGCAAAGGCCGGCTAGAGCAGTAACGGTAATGAGGAGGATGAGTGGGGGGAGCGAGGTTTCTGTTTTACCGCTGTATGAGCGGTTTGAGGAGGGAGGGATATGTGGGGGGGATGTTAGGGTTGAGAAGAGGGGGAAGTATGTGTATGTTGTTGGAGAGGGGGGTAAGGGGTTTGATGCGAGGGGGGTGGAGATGAGGTAATTAGTTTGGAGGGTGTGCTTTTGGCGAGAGAGAAAGAATGGGCCAGCAAACGTAGAGAGTTATTGTGACCATGTGGGTGTGTTTGCTGGTGAGGTAGTCGTTTATCACGGTGTGGAAACGCTGGTGGGCTTGGTCTTATATAAGTCTTTCTTGCGCAGAGTATCGTTTTCAAAGTATTCATCTCAGGCGACATGGAGACGGGAATCATCATCGTCATTTGCGCGGCAACGCTCGTTTTACTAGTTGTCCAGATCATGGTTACTTTGTGTCTACTCTTTTTCTGGCAGAATCACGTCCATGGCGAAAATGGAGAGAATGTTCGGAACGAAATCCCCCGTGCTCGCCAAGATGGAGATGGAGATGCTAGTAGTCCGGTTTTCCGCTCTTCGGATAATGGTTTGGTGGCTGGGTGCCCTTATGCTGCGAGTTCTGTGTATAGCAATTCCAGTGGGGAAAGATGATGCGACAGGTGTAATGAACAGAGTCTTGTAGTGCGTAGTTTCCAACTACATGTACATACAAGAAATAGACGTGGGCATATTGAGGAAGAAAAGATGAAGGGCAAGAGCCGAGGATGCAAGGGTGCGTAGCGCGCGATGCGCATGACAGAGGCGGAAGGTACCGGTTTGACGCACGAAGACGCCCGCGGCCGGTGGAGCCTTCTTTTTCTGTATCCAAGCTTTGCGCAACTCCTCCGCCGCACTTCAACGACCTGCCACTGCTCTCCGGTGTAGCTGCAATTGGGTCCCACCAACAACTCTCTACTCGCTCAATATGCTGGCTGCTCGCTCTTTCGCCTCGCCCGCGCGCCAATGCCTGCGCCAGGCCAACCGCTCAAGATGGGCGCCCGCACTGTCCCAGGTGAGCTTCCATATAACAGCGGGACCACACGTTTGCCAGAGTTACTTCCAGCTCGCGCATGTGCCCTTGTGATGGAGAGTAAGAGAGGATTGAAGATGCGACAAAAAAAGAAGGGGAAAAGGAATTGAAAGAAGACGAGAAAAAAAACAGGCTGATACATGGCCCAGGTCTCCGCCCGCACATACGCCTCTGAGGTCGCCAAGTTCCACGGCACAAAGGGTAGCGATGGCAAGTACTGCGTCACTCTGATTGAGGGTGATGGTATCGGCCCCGAAATCGCGCAGTCGGTCAAGGACATTTACTCGGCCGCCAACGTGCCCATCAAGTGGGAGTCGGTCGACGTCACCCCGCGCCTGAACGAGGAGGGCAAGACGGTCATCCCCGACGAGTCAATTGCCAGCGTCAAGAAGAACCTCGTCGCTCTCAAGGGCCCGCTGGCCACTCCCATTGGCAAGGGCCACGTCTCGCTCAACCTTACCCTCCGCCGTACCTTCAACCTCTTCGCCAACGTCCGTCCTTGCAGGTCCATTGCCGGCTACAAGACCCCCTACGACGACGTGGACACTGTCCTGATCCGTGAGAACACCGAGGGCGAGTACTCTGGTATTGAGCACATTGTGGTAGATGGCGTCGTACAGAGCATCAAGCTCATTACCCGCGAGGCCTCTGAGCGCGTCCTGCGATACGCCTTCCAGCACGCCCGCGACATTGGCAGGAAGAAGGTCCGCGCCGTCCACAAGGCCACCATCATGAAGATGTCCGACGGTCTTTTCCTCAGCACTGCCCGCGAGATTGCCAAGGACTTCCCCGACATTGAGTTTGACGCCGAGCTCCTTGACAACACTTGCTTGAAGATGGTCACCGACCCTGTCCCCTATAACGACAAGGTCCTCGTCATGCCCAACTTGTACGGAGACATTCTCTCCGACATGTGCGCTGGTCTCATTGGTGGTCTCGGTCTGACTCCTTCCGGAAACATCGGTGACAACTGCTCCATCTTCGAGGCTGTCCACGGATCCGCGCCCGACATTGCTGGCAAGCAGCTCGCCAACCCCACCGCGCTTCTTCTCAGCTCCATCATGATGCTGCGACACATGGGCCTCAACAGCGAGGCCGCTAACATTGAGCAGGCCATTTTCAAGGTTCTTGCTGAGGGCAAGGTACGTAGAATTCCTCATATTTGTTGTGGAGATCAAATCGCTAACTTTACCACAGACCATCACTGGTGACCTCGGCGGCAAGGCCAAGACCTTCGAGTACGCCGACGCCGTCATCAAGGCGCTCAAGTAGATTGGAATATGGAATTGATGAGCATTGACACGACCGAATGGTAGCCATTGCATATCTGGATATGTACTAGTCCCTGTACTATAGCTGCCATTTAGCTAGATACACGCCTATACCACTTGAAATTTGCATATTGATAAGGACTTTTTGCGCTGCAGATTAGATTGTGTAACAAGATGCGAGTTCTGCTATGTTTGCGTGTGCCTGCATAATGATTGTGCAGCGCGAGCAAGAATAGCCGAAGTGGATGCGCCATGGCATGTGAACCATGAGCTTGACCTTTAAGTGACCACTACTCCCCAATGCCTCCCAAACCTCCCTTGCGCCTCCCTCCAAAACCTCGCGCTGCACCAAAAGCGCAGGTAAAGACCTCTCTGCCAGGCCTGACTCCAAAACCTGCTGCCCGAGCCCCGCCGCATTCGAAATCTACAACACCCGCGACACCGAGCAATGCTTCCACCCCGCCTCCACCCCCGCCCTCGTCGAAATGGGCTAAGCAGAGTCGCTCAGGCTCAAGCAGCCGCTACATGAAATGGGGCACCAACGGGCTTGTAGCAATATGCGCAATGCTCTTCCTACGCGACCACTACATCGAGTTCCAACACGTCCGCGGCTCCTCCATGTCCCCCACTCTCAGTCCCGACGCGCACGAGACAGGCCGGGAAGACTACGTCCTCGTGCGCCCATACCTCGAGCGCTCCAGACGCGGAGCAAAGAGCGAGCAAAACGACAACAACGAATGGGGCGTTAAGCGCGGCGACGTAGTGACGTTCTGGAAACCCCATAAGCCCTCTGAAATGGGTATCAAACGCGTAGTGGCGATTGAAGGCGACACTGTATATCCCGTTCGCGGCTACGCTTTCGATCCCGCGGCGCATGCGGACAGAGTGCAAGGGTCGCCGGATGGACTTGCAGATTACGACCCTGATTCTGTTGTCCCTGAAGAGCAGCAGCGGGAGCTGGGGAAGGTGGTGGTGCCGTATGGGCATGTGTGGATTGAAGGGGATAATTGGCGGAAGAGTCTTGATAGTAATGATTTTGGGCCGATTAGCAAAGGGTTGATTCAGGGGAAGGCGGTTAAGGTGTGGAGGGACTGGTTTGGACTGTTGGATGTGGGGGACGAGAGGAAGAAGGGGGAAAGAGGGATGAGGAGTCGGGTTGTGGAGGGACGGAGTGAGATTCCTGCGGTGTTCTTGGAGTGAATGGTAAGAGGAGTTGCATGTTCGGGGGTATCAGGCTTGGGATGAACGAAATGTTCGGTATATGGTTCTAGGTATGTATTATGGATCACTTCCTTCGCGTTACTCATGCTTTCAGGAGCCTCTCGACTTCGTCGCATACAGCATCAGTCACGCTTTCGGTAGTGTCATTCCCACAAAGGTTTCTGGTCTTTATACCACGTCCAGTGACGTTTTCGATGGCCTTGATCAGTATATTGGCTGCCTTGTCCTCACCAACCCATCGCACCATCTCAGCAGCACTCCAAAACGCTCCAATGGGGTTGGCGACGCCGCTTCTAGCATTGCCAGGTTCATAACCGTGATTCGGCGCGAATAAGCTTGGGTTCTTACGCGAAGGGTCAAGACTACACGAAGTAGTTATGCCATTTGATCCGCTGAGTGCGTCTGCAAGATTCGACAGGATATCTGCATGCAGAGTGGTAGCAACGATTGTGTCGAAGGACGAGGGATGCAGAGTCATGTGGGTCGGCATATGTTCGACGAGCATGGTGTCAGCCCGCACGTCCTCATACTCTTTTGCAACCTCGTCAAAAACTTTGTCCCAGAGCGCCATGCCATGATTGTGGACATTCATCTTGGCCACCATGGTCAATCTCTTCCGTGGTCGCGATCTGGCTATCTCAAATGCATATCTCATGACCCGCTCGGTGCCGGCTCTGGTGAAGATGCTCACTTCGGTAGCTACTGCGTGTGGGCCATTTTCATGAATTACACCGCCCTGGGTTGAGTAGTCGCCTTCGCTATTCTCACGGATGATGATCCAGTCAAGGTCGATAGGTGTGCAACCTACCAGTGGAGAGGTGATGCCCGGGAGAATCCGCTTAGGCCGCACGTTGACATGATGATCTAGCGACTTGCGTATGGGCTGGATCAAAGAAGCCAGTATAATCTCATCCGGGACGCCGTCCCCGCCTACAGCGCCAAAGTAGATGGCGTCGTAGTATTTGAGCTCGTCGGGTCCATTCGAGGGCATACATTCGCCCTCGTTGAGCAGACGTGTGGCGCCCCAGTCAAAAGTAGTAAAGTGGAATTCAAAGGTTCCAAGGGTAGAGGATAGCGTGTTGAGCACACGGACACCAGCTTCTAGGACCTCGGGGCCGATGCCGTCGCCAGGAATGCAGGCAATGCGGTATATAACGGCTGCGGCATGGATGTACAAGACCATGGTTGATGTTATTGGACGTTCAGCCCGGCATGAGCGGGAGAGGGACAGATGATGCTAGACTCGTATCACCAGGCCATGAGAGGGGCTAGTACATATATATGTCGACAATGATTTCTCTTGTTCTCCAGGCAGACATTCTTTGTGCTTGAGCAACACAGGTGATGGGAGAGGGACTCAGCTATTACCTTTCCGGTCCCGAACTGTATTGTAGTGGCAGCCTGGGGCGTGTTGGTGTATGCAACCACTGTAGTAGTCAACTGTTAGTGGGTGCGGATAGCTTCCCCTCGGCGAGACCCTGTATTGCGCGTTCCCCGCGCTAACTCGCCACGCCACGCCCACTGCATCCACCCATAGCTCACCGCTCTAGCCAGACCACCTGGCCGACATCAAAAGCTCCGTCTGCTCCTCTGTTGCCCAGCTTTACCTTGCTTTTTCCTCATCCCTTCCTTCATTACATACATACTCCACAATGGCAGTTGCAATCCCCCCAGGCGGAACCTTCTTCGATACGCTCAACAAGAGCTTCGTCGATGTCAACATTGACGAGTCCAATGACAAGGCTATCAAGACGACCGACTTTCTCCAGGCTGCCGAGAGCTTGACTACTCTTTTCGATGTCTTGGGCGGAGTAGCCTTCAAGCCCGTCAAGAGTGACATGGCTGGCAACATCAAGGTGCGCACCAAGAGAAACCAACTCAACACTTGTACACATACCAACACAGGACAGAAAATCCAAGACAGACAGGCCGCTGCACCAACACTCTCCGAGACCCTCCAGGATCTTGTTCTCAACGAGCTCAAGGAGAAGAAACACACTGCCACTGAAGGCCTTGTATGGCTGAACCGGTATGCACTCTCTACCAGCTCCAATGACCCTGTGCTAACGACCTTTCCAGTGGCCTGGACTTTACTGCCCAAGCTCTCCGCCACAACATCACCAACTCATCCGTCGAGCTTGCCCAATCCTTCCGTGACGCCTACGGAAACACCCTCAAGCCCCACCACTCGTTTGTCGTCAAGCCCATTTTCAGCGCCGCCATGAGCGCTACTCCATACCGCGCCGACTTTTACAAGAAGCTGGGAGACGACGAGACCAAGGTTCAGGCTGAGCTGGAGAAGTGGCTGACTGCACTGGAGAAGGATGTTGCCGTCCTGAACGAGTTCCTCGCCAGGAAGGAGGCCAAGTGGTAGACGCATAGCCGTCACATATATGTGAACACGACAAAAACTGAATGATTTAAATGAAGATTGGCCAGCGCCATTGACGTGCTATGTTACATGATTATCATGCTAACATGGGGTAGCTATTATATACTACATGACCCAGCTCTTATCGTCTGCATACTGTGATGTTTGACCCATCATCCCCTTCAACCCGACTTCTTCCTCTGAAACACAAATAGCGCCTCGTCCTTGCCCGCAAAACTCGGCAGTGGCATCCTCAGCACAAGCTCAAACTGACTCAAATTCTTCTCCACCCACTCATCCACCACCACATCCCTAAACCCCGTAAACCCATTCCCATTCTGCGTCCCCGCAACAACAATCGTATCCCCCTCAAACGCCTTCATCATCGGCCCCGTAAAATCCCCCGTCGCCTGCGGATACACAAGCAACAGCACACACCCTTTCCCCCCACCATTCCTCATCAAATACTGCCTTCCATCCATCTTAATCGTATCCTTGATCCACATGACCCTGTACTCGCTCACCTGGCTATCCACAGCCCGCACATCGAGCTCCTTCGTCGCCCCGATATGCGCCACGGGGAAATGGCGAAGCATATACGTCCAGTACCCGTTTCCAGACCCTATGTCGAGGATCGGGCGCACGTCTTCTTTACTTGGGCGTGCGGGTTGTGCGAGTTTGGCGAGGACGTGCAAGGCGGCGTAGGAGGGGACGACGCAGCCGAAGTGGTGGTAGAAGAGGGGCAGGATGTGGTGGCTTATTTTCGTGCCCGCTGTTTCGGGGACGGGGCCCGCCCATTCGAGCTCGCTGCACGAGTAGTTCCACAGGTCTAGGTAGGGGTTTTTGTGCTCTCGGTCCTTTTTGCTGGGCAGGAGGCTGGAGTTTGGGGGCGTTGTGTTGAGGTAGCGGGAGGTTAGGTGTGTGGCTATTTTTTGACGGAGGGAATTTGCTTTTGAGCTTTTGAGGAGGGAGTTTAGGGATTTGGGGAGCGAGGTGCTGGGAGAGAAGAGGGATGTGTAGGTGGTTATTTCGTCGGGGGTGGGATAGGTCTGGGGGGGGTGTTAGTATGGGGATGGTATGTTGGAGAAGGGCAGATGAAAGGTTTGGTTGGTAGGTATTTGGGTGTTTGGTAGAGGTTAGATACATACAGGTTGACCTTCTTCATCTTGATACCATCCGTGTAGCCCATGTTCTCTCTTTGCGTCAATGGCTCGCTGCGTGGCGTGTAGCGTTGTCTGTGCATGCGCCCGATAAACATAGCTGTCTGTAGGCGGGATGTCGAAGGCTTCTCCCAGACATCTTGCTAGAGACTTTTCAGTGTGTAATGGCGAGTACTTTTCTTCTGACCATTCATCCAGGAAAGTATCGGAGTTGAAGTTCTCCAGTGCCATTGTGGTTGTCGACGGCACGTGACTAGATGATGATTGCGTTCTTCGCCCCACCGATTAACCCGTAAAACACACTCTCTATTCTCCAAGCTCTTTCTCAAACTCTTTGGACTACTCAATTCGGTTGTAGATAATACACAAAAACTCGTTACCCTCTCTTAGCGTTAGACACTGGGCGTTCTTGTTCTGCGCTCTTCGGCAAGCAGCCAATGACGTGTCGCTGATCAATAAGTGGCGGCCATCTCGTCATCCATCACTAATCAGCCAAGCGGCTCTTTTCTGTCCCCACATGCGGTCCTCCGCTAGTCCACCTTACTGGATCTTAGTCACTAATTGGAAATGCCCATGTAACAAGCAGAAAGAAAGCGCAGCATCGCCATGATGCAGCAACTAAAATCTGGGCTTACCAGCCGAGAATATAAAAACAAGCAGAGTCGTCGCATGAGCTGAAATCTCCTTTTCGTGATGACAGACAGAACTTCAACATCAAAAGCATCCAGCCAACATCGTGCTCCATCTACACCTGATACCTCATACTCAACCACCACAAAAGTAATTACAGTCCTCGTAGGCTTACTAGCACTCACGCTGGCTCTCTCAACCGCCTTCCGCTCTTCTTTTTCTTCTCTCCTCTCAAAACCTACTCTCCGCACAATGTCAACCGCAACTCCTGCTTCCCTGAAAATCACAAAGCGACCCTGGTCTCAACGCGGCCACGCCGACCACGGCTGGCTCTACACATACCACACTTTCTCCTTTGCCTCGTACTACGACCAGCGACACGAGAGCTGGGGACCTCTCCGCGTCATCAACGAAGACAGAGTCGAAGCTGGAACTGGTTTCGGTACGTTTTTTCCCTTCCTTCCTTCCTTCCTTCCTTCCTTCCTTCCTTCCTTCCTTCCTTGCTTCCTTCAAACACCCTCCCCAAAAAAACCCACATGTATAGAAAAGTTACTAATACAAAAGAAAAGGAACACACAGCCACGCCGAATTCCTCATCTTCAGTTACATCGTCTCCGGCACCCTCGAGCACAAAGACAGCATGGGCAACCTCGAAAACCTACAACGCGGCGAAGTCCAATTCACCAGCGCGGGAACCGGAATCCGCCACTCAGAGTACAACCGCAACCGCGACTCTGAAGTCCACTTTTTGCAGATCTGGGCCAAACCAAACAAGAGGGGTCTCAAGCCGCATTACGAAACCAAGAAGTTCAGCGATGAGGAGAAGAAGGATAGGCTTGTACGAATTATGGAGTATACGGATAGATTGAGCAAGAGTGAGGGCGCGATTGGTCTGCAGGCGGATTTGAGTATGGATGCGTCGATTTTGGCGCCGGGAAAGAAGGTCGTGCATGAGATTGTGGCGGAGGGCCCCAGGAAGCTGTTTGCCCATGTTGTTATGGGTGGACGGACACAGCCGAAAACTGGGGGTGCGCAGATTAAGATTGGAGAGACGATTTTGGGAGAAGGGGATGGCGCGTATATTGATGGGGCCAAGGGACCAGGCAAGGTTGAGATTGAGAGTGTGGGGGATAAGGAGGCGGAGTTTTTGCTGTTTGATATGGGGCCTGAGGATGCGTAGAAGGGGGAGATGATGAATGACGATTGTCTTGGAATTGTACAGCATTGATTTCGTAACCAATTTACTTATCTGGACTACTACTCTCAAGGCAATTTATCTCAAAAACAATATCATGGGCAGTCATTTCCAAATTCAGTTCTTACTCATGCCTTTACAATACCAAAAGCCGCAGCAATGGAAGAAGCAATCCATATCAAAGTCGAAAGTTCAAGCTGTGGCGTACAAAACCTGTATATAGTCAGTAAGTCTGAACAAAAGGATCCCAACACCCACTTTCTTAACCAATAAAAGAAAAGAAAAAAGTGACTTACTCCCCCTCCGAAATACCCACAAACCCAATCCAAAACACCCACTGCGCAACCCACAACAAAATCATACTCACAAACGCCACCAGCGTAGCCCTCACCACACCCCTCTTCGTCCTTCGCCCATTGGGCGTCTTAGTTGGCAACGTGCCATACACAAGATGAACATAACCCTCATTCTGCATGAGCGGGGTCTGTTCAAAATCCCAATCCATATCGATCCAATACTCTGCAATCTTCTCCTCGATCCACGTCCAGCGCTCTACAAACGGTTTTCTGAGCTGAGACGCGAGATGGTGATTCTGGGGATTAATCGAATCATGCGGTGTGCTTGCATCAAATAGAACGTAGAAGAAGGCGAGGATAGACAGGAACATGACGATGGCCCACATGAGGGCGCCGGCGTACATGTACGGCGCTGCTGACAGGTTACTTAGTACGGTGGTATTTGGGTTGTAGAAGCCGTGCTGGATGCCGTAGGACACGGTGGAGAGTATGGTGGTGGAAGAGAGGGCTTGCAGGATGGTCTCGGATACGATGACTGTGGCTACGGCGGAAAAGGTGGAGCGTTTGTAGGGTGAGGCGAGGACGAGGATCATGGTGAGCCAGGTTAGGCGGGGCATGGTGCACCAGAGGAGGGCGAGCTCCACCATGGGGGTTTCCTCATAGGTGGGGGTCGATTGGATGAGCATGGCGTTGATGGCGTTAGCGAGGAGGTAAAAGGCTGCTACGGCGATGCCACGCGGGAACCAGAGGATGCTGCCCAGGGGGTTTGTGGTTGGGCTGGAGGCTGGCTTTGGGCCAAAGATGGCGGTGAAAAGGGCAGCGAGGTTGACGAGGAGGAGACTCATTTGTTTCCACTCGCTGGAGGCACATGATTGTTTAGGGGTTGATGGGTCGGTTTCGTTTGTGCTGGGGGTTGAGCGACTGAATGAGTCTATGTACCATGCCCATGGAATTGCCTCGCGACGAGTGGCGCGAGCTAGTCGATGCCAGTCCTCTGGTAAACCATGCCAGTTTTCTTCGGCGCCGCATAAATTGTGGAGCCAGTGTATGTAGTCGATCCGGTTGTCGAAGTCGTGGCAGGATCCTTTGCATGTGTCATAGTTGATGTTACGGCAGAAACAGGATCTATCTACTGCACGCTGGACATAGCAGTAGCCGTCGGAGCCGACTCTACAAGCATTAGTCGTGCATTGGTCCTTGAGCCGCATCACGTTATCTGGCATGGGATCGAAGCACTGGGGTCGCTTCCATCTTTCCGCAGGAATGTAATCGTAAGGAGTGGTTTTGAGTCCCTGCCTCCAGTTGGAGGGAAGTGACGCAGATCCGCAAGTAGCATGCAACCATAACCGTTGCATCGTTGAATATACTCCAGGCCCTGCACAGTCCTCTTCTGCAAGCCTTGCATCAAATGTCTTGCAGAAACACTGCTTGTCAAAGTAACGATTGTCCGGAATGGTGGCATGTGTCAGGTCGTACCCTGCAACTTCAATATCCAGAGCGACCATTGAATGCTCACTTTCATGATATTCCCATGGACGTTTAGCATTGCCCATATGTCTAGTAGTAGCCTCGAAAGCACAGGATGCCATAACTTGTCCAAACGACTCCATTGATGAAGGGGATACCGATTCGGTCAGACATGCCGGCGCCTTGTCTGTGATACGAACAGCCGCATATCCTTTGGTCAGCGAGGCTGGAGAAAGCCTCTGTAATCCGTTGGCATCGCCGACCTGAAAAAGCCATGTACGACCCGTTGTTGTATGGATCCACTGGTACAATTGTGCCTTTTTCAGAACGGAGCGGCTACAGTAATCAACGTACTGTACAAGAAGTCGAGGGGAAAGTTCGGTGTTGAGACAGCTAAGCTGGGTGCGCCATTGGTGGCGGGTACAGATTACTCCAAAGTGCCGCATGCATTGCTTCTTTGTGCATCTTGTCATGGCACTTAGCCATGCAGCCTGGTCCTGCTCGGCGATGCACTGAGGCATGGGTGGCAAAGTCTCGGGGTAGACCCAGTCATGTTGAGCATCCAGTGGTATGAATAATGGGGGCTCTTCATCCAACACAAGCTCGGTAGGATGGAGAGATATGTCTGTAGCCTTGCTTAGCGCCGGGAGCAAACGAGGACTGGGGGAATCATCACCTTGAAGCACATCCTCGGCCCTAGCGGTCGCTAGCAATGCGAGCAGAATGGTTGGAACCCTCATTCTAAGAAGAGGGCCGGGCAATGAAGAATGAAAGAGTGGTGTGAAGAAAGCTGGGTCAGCCTAGTGTTGTGAGTTGCGGGGTTGCTGCGCTGCGGCGCATTGGCGCTAAGGTTTGTGTAACCACCACAACGCATTGATGGTGCAAGTTCAGCTGCCAATGCTCTTTGATAGGCGCCAGCGAACATGAATGGCGCTAGAACATCTGTTGAAGTAGGTAATGGGAATGTTCATTCAGGATGATCTCAGGGCATCTAAATGACATTTAACAGGACTTCGAACCAAACATTCGGAAGCCTTCTTTACATTACCTTCTAAAGGGAAATCACTAAATCTACTATCTTCTCATTCTTTTAACTTACCGATTACTTAACAGCACTTTAAACCGGATATTGAGAAACAACCTCTACATTACCTTTCAGATGATAGACTAAATCAACCATCTGCACATACTTTCAAGCTCCCGATTACTTACCGACGCAAATATTTAACGTGAGAGTCTCAGCAGTGTTCTAAGCAAGACACACTACCAGACACCTCACAACTTACCCATCTTGTCTTCGCCCAGGCACCTCACCTCACCTAGATCAACCTCGTGAAATTGATGCTCGTTATTATGTCCATACTTTCCTTCATAAAAGGACTTCTCAGACGACACACGAGCCGGTTGATAGTTACCTATTCCGCCATCAGGGAACCTATCACCCATGTACGGCGAGCTAGGTGCGGGAGGCGGTGTCATCTGCTTGTTAAAGGGTTCGTTGTTGATAACCTTAGAAAAAGCAGCAGTATTAACCTCAATGTCGTTGGTTTGCTGAATTGCACGCTGCCTGCTACGGCGCTCGCGGACAACGATAACGACAAGGAGGGCTATGACTGCTACACCTGTCACTACTATCACGGTGATCAGAGTAGCCCTATGCATGGTAAAATATACATGAGTCTCAGACGCGTAGAGGCCACGCTTGACTGAGGCGTGATGGTGAGATGTCGAGCAATTGGACATGGGTGCCATGTCGGAGCGGACCATGTCGTGCAGCGAGTGTCTAAAATAATCTTTGGTGATCGGCAGGCAACGATGCTGGCGATCTCGGGAAGCAATGCGTGCACGTGAAAGATCAGCGAATTGTTTTACTAAGAGAAAAAACAACGGTGCAGGTGTGTCGAGGAAAAATTTCTAACTGGATCTTCTATTTGTAGTAGTTCGTGGGCAGTTGTATTGTGGGCAGACAATGTCGTTACCTCGCATCATAGGCCAACAAAAGCCCAGCCTCGGGATATTTCCATGCATGATGACCAGGAAGCCTAGACATATAATTGTTCGCGAACATGGAAACATATTGTTTAGTCCGTTTTATTGGATGTTCATGAGATCGTCGCTGTTATCCACGAGGGGCGCAGCTTAAAAAAAAAAGGTCATAATTGTTGAGCTGCAACCCCCGTGCGGCCGTAGTACAACGCCAGTTATTGCATTGCATCGAACTGACCATATGTCGCTCAGCAGCTCAGCCCCCTTATTGCAGCGCATGGATGGTGATGCAGCGTCCGCCTAGAGACCAAGGTACTGGCAGATGGGCCAAGTTAGACGACTCAAGAGGCCGTTGTGGCAATGGGCCAATCAAGGGGGGATGGCGTAAGCACGAGCGAAAGGATTGCTGACCCAAGAGAGGGCAAAAGGAGCGTGAGTGGGTGTGAGTGGGTGTGAGAATGTGGGTGAATGCGGAGTGCATGGTAGGATGACGCTAGCGGGGAGGTGCATTATTGAAGCCGTCTATCGCGGCTGAAACGCCCGACAATGGACGCGCGGCGTTACGTCATAGGCTGGCTGCAGACCTCACATCATGCATGACAAGGAGCTGAAGACTGAACAGGTGAATGCACAAACATTGGTATGCGCTGGACAATTGAGACATGCGACAGACCAATTTCTCTTCATGCAGCTTGATGCACCGAGGTAAGTAAGTAAGAGGAGGGGGAGCATACAACACACGATTAGAAACAAGCATGGTCAAGAGAGGGAAATGAGCTTTGAATATTTCCATTGAAATGACTTAATATTATAATATAGACCGTCTGGATATACCCCAGTTTCGCCATGAACCCATTCTTATCCCTAATGCCTCGTTTGTTTGAGACAAAGCGATGTCAGCTCTTGGCTGAGGCATCGCTAGCCGATGGAAGAAGCTACCGGAGGGAAATATGATGCTGATGAAGATGATTTGTCGACAAGAAGACTTAGAACCCATCTAGGGGCACTTATAGGAGACCAGCAATGGCGAGAATACCAGCGGCAGCGGCACCCATGGCGGGAAGAGCGTTCTGGTTGGCAGCACCGGTCGACTGGGAACCAGCAGATGAGGTGGCAGAAGAAGCAGCGGAGCCCAGAGATGCTGTGGCGGAACTCAAAGCAGACTCGGCCTCGGAGCGGATAGATGAGGCAGCAGCGTCGGCACTTGAGCGGATGCTGGAGGCAGCAGAGGCAATGTCAGAGGGAAGGCCGGCAGCGCCAGAGGTGATTTGGGAACCAATGCTGGAGGCAGCAGAGGCAGCGCCAGAAGGAAGGCCAGCAGCGCCAGAGGTGATACGGCTGGCAACGCTCTCAACATCGGAGGCGACGTTGGAGGGAAGGTTGGCGGCAGCAGAGGTGAGGGAGGCGATGGCGCTGTCAATCTGGGCGTTGGCAGCACCAGCGGCGAAGAGAGCAGTGGCAATGTAGGAGAAACGCATCTTGATGGTGTATGAGGGTGTTTGTGTGGTTGACGGTTGAGTCGAAGGAGAATTGAATCAAGTGTTGATGTTGGAGTGTGGGTATCTGATGTGGAATGGAGAGTATAAGCAAGACTGGGCGACGTGAAGGGCCTCTTATACCAGCCGCGAGCCGTAGTACTAGCGCCGTCAATCAATCGAAACAGTGTGCTGGCCTGGCTACGTGATGCACATTGACACTACGCACCGCCTCGTCCACTTTTTCCCACAAGGCTAAAATTGGGAAAAGCGGCGGCGGGTGACGCCACATGTCGCGCCTCGTTCGTCTTCCCCAGCCTGTCGGAAGACAGCATCAACCGGACCCGTCTCCACTCTACTCGTGCTCCCACGGACGGACGAGTTGCAAGTGAGCTGGGCGATCAATTCATGACGTCGTCTAAGAGGCCAATACTACGTTCCTAATTTCCTTGTCCCATGTTGCAGCCAAGGTCCGCGGACATGGGAGACGGGCTGTGTGTGTGTGTGTGTGTGTGTGTCGGATGGGCAGTGTTTGAACGCTCTCATGCCATTCTCGCGTCGTTGACTACTACTGTTGCTAAAACACTGCCTCCTCTCCTTACTTGCTGTGTAGAGCAAGATGCTATTTCCAGCACACAAGGCCTTGTTCCCGAGCTAAAACTTGCCCTACCCCAAGCATAGTAGGACGTCGTTGGGCCAAGCTTTCGCCCCGTCAGCACCATCTCAAAGTCAGAAAAGGGACCCTGGCATCTCACTACACCTAGTAACAGAACAGCAAAATAGCCATACTAGCAGTAATTACTACTGCCGCCCTTCTCTCCAACTCGTCAACTATTCACGGCTTTTGCTGGACACCGGGCTGCTGCAGTGGGAAACGCGATTCCAACGTCCCGCCGATCCACTGTTGTTAGGACAACCCCCATCCAAGCCTTGGCCATGCATCCAGCCTTTCCCAGCCCATGGACAAATGATGAAACGAGCATGTCGTCACATGTCCCCAACTTCATCTTGATTCAGGCCACACATACACACACAGCAATGGCCCTGTCCTCCTCTTCGTAGAAGCAGCACCACCAAGCTGACCCCGAGCTCACCTCAGCCGAAGGATTCAACGGCCCAAGACAATGACGCACCGTAATGTGGAATAAATTGTGGCTCTGGATGCTACTGTACACTAGCTCGTGGCGCGGCTATGAGGCAGAGGCAAAAAAACGGGCTGTGCCATGATGCTGTGCTGCGGGTGGTGTGCGTGCCTGGCCATCCACACCCAAACCCCAGCCCTACGCCGATCTCGCCATGGACAACAACCAACCCCTGTCATTGCAGACCAGCCAAGCCCGTCTTTGCCGGCTACCTTGCCCCCGTTCCCTCATCCCACTGTTCACGCAATCGCAACGCTTGCCTTGATTTCCTCGTTTAGAAAACACTGCTCTCCTGTCCACGTAATTACTTGAGATTTATTCCCCGAAACGGGCGCGCGTAGCCACTGACATCATCCTCCACCTCACCCCCCTAACGCCCTAACGCCCCAACGCCCCCATACTAGCCCACGCATACGACTTTTGCACCTCGGCATTTTTTTCTCTCCATCTCCTGCATACCACTTAATGCTAGCATTAAATCGTTTCCCTTACTTGCTACTCCCAAATCGCATACACAAGTCTGCAACATGCAAGTAAACAATGTGCATTTAGCCCTAATAGGCCCGAAAAAACGAGGCCGGGAAAATTGCAACAAGTTTGTACACGTAGTTGTACTAGCTAAGAGAGGGCATTGTTGTTCAGGGCAAAAAAAGGTAATAATATCGGTGTAGAGTACAGCGCAGGGCTTGGGGCGCTACAGACGGGGGAATACGAAGGTAACCTAGTTATGCCGGATTGGATTGGACTGGACCCCTGGTGTGTGTGTGTGTGGGTTTGCTAGGTTGGCTTCCAGAAGGAAGTGCTAGTATGCTAAAGTGAGGGACTGACATCATTCGTTATGCATCTTTGAGATGCAGGTGTTCTCCTGGAATGTGTCCAGCCGAGTTTGTTCTTCCCTTTTGATTAGTTATTCCCGAACAAACACCAGCTATTCCCAATAACACGCGTGGTACTACCAACATTTCATCCCATCACTCAGACCAAACGTAAAGTTGCAAGAAAAATACTACGTCGTCAACTACATTTCACCATGTCCAATATATACACATCAACAACCCCAACAAAATATCTACAATGAAGTTCAACCCCTCCCTCCATACTAACACGTCTACCCCATCCGATCATCCCACACACACTCCACATCCCCCCTCTCCTCCCCCCTCCACACACCCCCAGGCACATTCTGCGCCGCAACCGCACTTCGAATCCGCGTCCCCAGCTCCGGCGGTCCAGAGCCTACAACCTGTGTCCGCCCGCTTTCCACCGTCTCGCTCATGAAGTTGGATACTAGAGAGGATACGTCCGGACGCGCATTGCTCAACCATGTGATGCTGAAATCCGGGCATTCGCGCTTTAGTTCGTCAATCTGGCGATTGAGATCCATGGATTCAATGGTAGATGCTGGTTCTAGTGCTGCGTCGTCGTCGCCGTAGTCTTTGTCTTTGTCCTTGCCTTTGCCGCTGTCGCTGTCGCTGTCGAGCTGGGCTGAGGCGGCTTGTTGTGTGGTCTCGGGTCTGGTGACGAAGATGCGGATGCGGAAGCGCTTGGTTGTGCTTACGGATACAACGGGGGCGTCGTCTTTCTTCTCGATGTCGCTGCTGCTGGAACTGGTTGCTTCGTCGCTCTGGTAGAGCTGCGATTTTAAGTATGCGAGTTCGGGGGCGATCCAGGCGAGGTTCTCAATGTGGCGGATGGTCCAGATGAGCTCGATGTTGCAGACGGGCGAGGAGGGGGAGAGAGCGTCCATGATGACAGGGAGGGTGTAGGTTATTCCTGTGCCGCCGGAGATGGCGAGCATGTTGGAGACCTCCTTGTTGACGATGGAGCTGCCATATGGACCCATCATGATGACTGGGGTAGATGCTTGAACGCGCGGATAGCAGTTTGCAGCAGCATCGGCAAGAGCAGCAAGTTTCGCGGTCTCGCCCTTGCAGGCACGGATGATGTAGGTATGGCGTTGTAGGGGAGAAGAGCTGTTTGGATTCGAACCTGGCGTAAACGGATGTGACTGCCACATGTTGAGTGCAGGAAAGGTGAGGTAGAAGTGTTGGCCAACTGCCCAAGGGCTATGCTTGTGGTAAAATGTCATGCGAACAATGGTACCTGTAGGATCCTGGAAAGTATCTAGTATCGCTGGAGTAGAGCGGAAGCCAAACCCACCACCCCTTTGTTTGTGGCCAGTGTGAATGAGAATGGTGCGAACACTCCGGGCAACCAAATCGAACCCCATAATCGCAAACGATGCGATCATCCAGCACGAAAGCTTCTCCCAGTGGCCCCAGCAGGCTCCAATGTAAAGGATGGAGACAATGAGATGCGACTTGCGGAAGAACTCGTAGCCCGTCCAGCGGATCACGGGTCGGAGGCTGAAGACGAACAAGAACGTGATCAAGGCCTGCGCAATACAGCCCCAGACCATGTACTTTTGGTTGATGAACTTGGTGTAGACAGTAGGTTGTGGCTGGTAAAGCTTTGCTTCGATAATAGTCCAGATGATGGCATGAACGAATGACTGGACAAGAATAATGCGGCCTGTCCAACGGTGTAGAAAGTTGAAGCTCTGGTAAGGAATGCCTGTGACCATGCTGAGGATCGAGTCACGGCTGCACAAGGCAATGGTCAATGGAGTGAGAGCAAAGGCAAAGGCACCAATGCGGTCAGCGAATCCACCCATACCAGTGCGAGTATTGTGCAAGTTACTGTCCTTGATTGGCGTAACCCATGTCTTGTATGTGATGCCAGCAAAAGAAAAGACCGTGAGGTAGGCGCAAAACAAGGCAAGGATTAATACTTGCAGCCTTGTAGTATACCTGAATACCTTCGAGCACTCAGGCAATAGATATTTGCGAACAGCCGATGATGCCAGTCTTGTAAGGCGATATACGAAGCTCTGTCTTGGACCGTTCTGTTTCTGCGGGTGCGCTAATCGAAACACTACGAACAAGAGGAGGATGAGACCGATAACAGCCCACATGACAAAGGTGAAGATCATTGATGTCTCGTGGTTGCCATAGACGGAATCCAGGTATTCACAAGTCCCTTTGTCGTTGGTGCATGGCATTTTCCGCACCGCATAGCCCCAGTAATCGATTGTATACTGGACATTGTCATCGGACTGGATGTGACGGGCGGCCAGTAGGTGGGTAGTCGAATTGAAGAACATGGCGACAGGCAGATGCAGCGCTGCTGCGAGAGAGAAGGACAAACAAATATGTGTACAAAAGAAGAGAATTGAGGGAGTTGCCAGAATCCGGCATGGCGATTACTTGACTGAAGACAAATAGAGGACCCAAGACCATTGGCAAATTTCTAGTTCCCACAGTAGCACCACAGTATATTGCAGTGCGTTCACGTTTGACGTTTGACAGGATTTTGTTGCAGCTGTCAGGTTCCTTCGAACAAAGTGTCCAATCGTAGCATTTTGATTGATGAAGCCGAAACGAGGTTGTACCCACATACCCACCGGCGAGGGACCGCTCGTTTTGATGGCCGGATTCAGCATCCGGGACGGCCTCTTGGTAAGTCTCAACAGCCGGATTAAAAACTGTCACTACCACAACGGTGCAACTTTACGATAATGCCAACGCTAAACACCTCTTGGCTATATAAAACACGAGCGAAGAGATGATGCCATCGATGATGGGGATTTTGGATTTCTTGACAGGATTGGAAATGCTGGTTCTGGTAAGTTTAGCGGTGGCTTGGGTTGTCGTCGAAGTAATTTCGATCCACAATGAGACGGTGTTGATACGAATGGCGGATTGTAGGACTTGTGGTAGTACGAGGTTGCGATGGATCGAGGATGTTTATGGTGCTGGGCAGCACTAGAGTGTCACGTGAGTGCATGTCATGTGTGTCATGTCACGTGCTACATGTCACGTGATCTATGCAACTCGTGCGGTGCTAGTACAAATGGCGGTTGAGGGTGCAATGGAAATTGCCTCGGACGGGCTACGGAGCACGATGCAGCCAGCGCGCACCTGATACGCTGAACGTATATATACAAGTACACGTGTACCTGTGTATGAGCTGGATGCGAACAGGGCGTCGACTGGACGGGACTGAATTGCGAACGGACGCTGGAGATTGCTGGCGGCTCTATCTTATTATTTTTTACGCCTCGCCAACGTCGCCCCTGGGCTGGAAAAAACAAAAGGAGGCCCCACTTCTCGCGGTCGACCCCTGCCAAGATGCCACACGGATGCTCGGACGAACCTTTCACGCCCTAAGTAACAGCCATTTCTGCGGCCATGATTTCCGCCGCTGCCCTCGCCGCTCACCTCAATTGTTATGCCCACTCGTTGCATAGCAGCCCGCCATGGACGTAGCTCTCGAAATCCTCGATCCTCTTATTCTGGATAAAGCCTATGCATGGGCTCTACCCGCCTCATCCCCCGCCTTTACAAACTCTTCATCAGCCACATTTTCGGCGGCGGCGGGCTCACCGCTTACTTCGCAATGGCCGCGCGACAACATCTATCGTCAGATTGTGTCACTTCTCACCATTACCCAGTTGGGCGCCACCTCGCTCTATCTCTTCTTCAGCGCCCTGTCTTACTATCTTGTCTTTGATCGCCGCCTCGAGTATCACCCGCGTTTCTTGAAGAACCAGGTCCGACAGGAGATTAAGTCGTCCTTGTTTGCCATCCCTTTCATCAACTTGATGACCCTTCCCGTGTTTCTGGCAGAGGTCCGTGGCAAGAGTCTGCTCTATGCCAAAACAAGCGACTACGGCTGGCAGTGGCTGATCGTGTCGACCGTCCTGTACATGGCCTTCAACGATATTGCCATCTACTGGATTCACCGCCTCGAACACCACCCTAGCGTGTACAAGTACATTCACAAGCCACACCACAAATGGATTGGTAAGTTTTGATTTCCCTGTGTTTCCCATTACTGTTTTGTCGCTTTGCGCATTTAAGAGGAAAATGCTAACAAAAGAAAAGTCCCTACACCATGGGCTGCCCTGGCTTTCCACCCGGCTGACGGATTCATTCAATCTCTGCCATACCAGTAAGTACCATATTGCCCGTATCCCTAACAAGTCATTTCTAAAACCCAAAAAGCATCTTCGTCTTCATATGTCCAATGCAGAGATACCTGTACATGGTCCTCTTCGTCAGTGTCCAAATTTGGACCATCTTCATTCACGACGGCGACATGATTTCGGGTCATTGGACCGAAAAATTCATCAACAGTCCCGCGCACCACACGCTGCACCACATGTACTTTACCGTCAACTATGGACAGTACTTCACCTGGGCCGACAACTACTTTGGCTCCCACAGGGCCCCGGAGCCCTCGCTCGACCCCATCCACGATGCTCTCAAGGTGATGCGGGCAAAGGGTCTTGTCGACGAGCAGGGTAACCTGATCAAGCATGCCAAGAATGAGTAATGGGAAAAAGTTTTTAGAGGTGCCGATGTATCATATAGACTTTGTTAATACGATAATGTAATGTCATATTGTGGTGTGTTTTGGTCATACAGAACACACCCGTAGTAATAATTTTAACTCCAGTACATGCATCGTGCATGAGTTGATGTCTTATCAAAGTCCCCCTAGAGCTGACGATTGCAGCCTTGGCTGCATAGTATGATCCGTCCCAGTGGTATTTTGTCGAAGGGATGCAACATAATTGGCTCTAAAGCAACCTCTCCTGCGATTGGCTTCAGCTATGCCGTGATATAAAAAGCAATAATAGAACGGGTTATATCACCAACGATAGCAGCTCCCGCCAAATCGCTGATAGCAACCAACCAGACCAGCCCACACCATTGCGCAACCAGAACATCTAGCAGTCACAAGCAGCGAAATAGACAAAAGCAATATATAGCTCAAGCTACACTTTTTCCCCTTAGCCCCTCCTCCGCAGAGGAGCTATTAATCATACACTATCCAAACACCATGTGCGAAAACTTCTTGAAAAAAAAACATCTTCCATCGCCATTTCTACCACATACTAGTGAATAAAGAGACACTTGCACTCCCTTTCCTCTCGCCCTATTCCCAGTATATACGTGGAGTTGGGAGCGTTTTTTCTTTTCTCTTTCGTTTATACCTGAGCAGCACTTTGACGTTGCATTATAGTACCTGGTCCATGCACCTTTTTTGTACCACCATGCCTATACTGCGTCTGGGATAGTAACTGGGGGGGGGGGGGGCTCGCTTCCCGGGTTTCTGTTAGGAGTGTGTTGGCAATTGACTTTTCTGGGTAAATGTTGAGTTTGCTATTGGTGCGGTGGATATTGCTTGCTTCGGTACTTTTGAGTGCTTTGATATGATTTGTTTCTTTATCAAATTCTTTTTGTGCGATATTGATGTTTGGTTTTGTTGATGAGAAAAATATGTTTTGGTTGGTTTTTGATTTAAGGTTTGGATGTGGGATCAATTTAAGATCGATGCATAGTTGTGATTGCGTGAGCTATGGAATGTTAGTGATTTGAGGGAAGGTGTTTTTGAAAAAGTGATCAAGATCACTTGCTAATTGTTTCCTGTTGGTAGTGTCTCGCAGCGTGCTACATGATGCTCCTGGTCATTCACGGTTGCTATCATGTTGGGTACAGCGGATCTCACGACAGTTGCGCCAATCATACTGTAGTCGATGTGGCTCAGGTAGAGGTCAACTAAGAGTGTTTTTCAGGGTTGCTTCTACAATGGAGTCTGGAAACGGCTACAAATGCTAGGTGGACGCCCAGACCACATACTCATTTGGATGGGAAGCCATACCATTCCACTGGCTCTGAGACTACGATTTTCTAGAGGCTTTTAAGGATATTCTTGCTTGGCTTGGTAGTTCACTGTGATACATAGTGTCATAATGAGTTAGCTAATAATCTTAGTAGCATAGCAAAATGCAAAAGCTCAAGCTTGCCTACTTTTTCTCATTAGTAAACAATACATATGTATCGTCCGCGGCCGTAAAAATCAACTTCCAGCGATGAGGGAGATTTTGGTGGTTTCTTTTATGGCGCGGATACACTATATTCCGAGTGTCGCTGTTTTCGGACTTTTATACAGACGTGGCTCGGACTTCTATCAACAACGTTAGCTTTTCACTGGCACATCATTCCCTTTTATGGCTAAGCTTTTTTTCACCACACGAAGGAACGATATGCCTCGGCCCACTACCTATCTCTAGGGCACAATCTCAACGATTGCCTACTGGCGATTCAGTTGGAAATGCTTGTCTCTTGGCCACCAGTGTTACTCTGCTCAGACACGGCCATTTGCGCTTCAATTGTGTATATGCTCATCATATCTGAAGTATGCAATGATACTGGGATTGTCTGCACATCATACATATCCATCTGCGAGCAATTATAGGCACGGATATGCACGCGCCGAGGACGTGGTGTTACAATTCACCGAGTCCGGGGCGGATTGGGCCGGGAGCAAAATGTTTGATCATCATTCCGCCTCGAGCGGCATATCGAACCAGATCCTGGAACATGACGGGGTATATGTGTTTGTCATGCATCTTCTACCAGGCTCATGATATTGAACGTCTTTGGTTTTAAGGGTGTGTAGAGAAAGTTTGTTATGCCCCTTAATCTAGAGACCTCGTATTGCCCTCTAGGATATGCAGCTGGCGATTAGATGTTAGACCGGCCGGGTAAATCGCACCGCGACCACATTTTATCTACATCTTCCATCTTATGCTCTTGATGTGCATGAACCTGTGGGAGCTTAGCATTCTTGACTACATAGAAGATCAGTATGGGCTAGATCCCATTGCTTACTTTAGTACTCGACACTGATGATATCCTCGTCGCGGAGTTGCCGGAACAGGCACAATCCACGATGATGCTTGCCGACTGGTCGAGAACATTTACAATTGTAGGGGCACGCCTCGAATTTCAAATCGATGGCCAATGTAGGGATGAAGGTAGGGTAACTTGGCTTCAAGTCTCAACTACAGACATGGGTACTTTGATAATGTTGTTGAAAGAGCGTTTCCCCCAATGGTTCGCTGACAACGTGCATCATGCGGAATGACTCCGGTGAGATTGGGGATTGCGTTTTGTTGCCTAAGCACCCGCGCCGCACCGTGTCCGTGTGCGCCATCTTCGGATTCGCGTGACGGTACCATAGGCTCGTGCTCCAGCGGGGAACGATGAGGCGGTAGTGGCTGCTTATGCAACCTACATCGACAAAGGTTGTCAACGAGGATGCTGCCAAGTATGGAGTATGTACGTGAGCAAATAAGTAGGTCGTAGGAGATGCTCAACAGGGGCTGGACATAGCCTGCCCATCCGGGATTCAACCTGGTAGTCGTGAAATGTCTCTTGGCAGACCTCAGCACTCCTCCTGTTCAGCTGCTGCGATCTGTGGAACGACGATCGTGCCACTGCCTGTGGTTCACACTGGCTGAACTGTGATCGATCATAGTCAGTACTGGTCAAAGGGAGGCTGTGCGTCATATTCAACACGTGGTCAGGTCGCCGTTCTAACAGGGTGTCAGGGCAACGAGGCGCGGCGGGACGCGACGCTGCGGTCTAGACGCATAGACATACAGGGAGTGGGAGATACGATGATGAATCATGTAGCCATCACCTTACCTTTTTACTCAGGCACGATCTCTACGCGGTCAGGCATCCTGATCCTTCACTTGTCCTCCGCGCCCTCCAGCCAAACATTTCGCTTCGGACCAGGACCGTCGCGTATTCTCAATGTCTTCGCTGCTGTACCGCTAGCCACGCCACCACGGATTCGTCTTAACTCCCCTGCGCCGGCATCTTAAATTCAGCCAGCCGTTAGCTTCATGAGGGGTTCCGTTTCCGCTTTCGGGCGGCCAAGGTGCGATGTCGATAATAGTGCGCATGAAGAAATCCTCCACCGGAGGTACCTGACATTCGCCTGCTTGGTCCGGCTCTCATGTCTGTCCCAATGGGCGTTGAAGGAGCGCATCTGCCCATGCGCCTCACGGCGGGGAGGCGGGTGTGATCGGCGGTATTCCATAGGAAATCTCTCCGAGCCGTATCTCTAGCCGCAGACTAAACCTTATACAGTCTGTGATCTGAACTCTATACACGCATATGATTGATCGCTAGAGAACCTGATTCTGGTGGCGCCCACGCCCCTTTGGCGCCAACGTTTGAGCAGCCATGGTCTATATCCCGAGCTGCTCAAATGCATCGGACGCGCTGCTTGTCTGCCATGTCCTGCCCTCGCAAAATACCGCGAGCATGAGTTCAACAAGCACGGCTGGCGAGTCCATCGCCTATCGCGTCATCATCCCAAGCGTTCTCGGGCCTGTTGTTGCATTGCCTCTGTGCGGCATTCGAATGTACACGAAACTCTACATATTGCGCAATACAGGATATGATGATTGTAAGCAATCCGCCCGTCTGGATTATCGAGGACAATGCTTACAGTGTGATCAGATGCAATTGCTCTAGCGACGGTACGCATTGGCATTCGGACATGACTGTTCTACGCGCTTGGGAATTGACAGGAGGCATAGATTCTAGCCCTCGGGTTTTCAATCACTACTTGTTACCGTAAGACGCATAAGTACAACTGTCGAAAACTTGATCATAGCTAAAGCGATTCAGAGACAACCAACGGCTTAGGAAAGCATATCTGGGATGTGTCACCCTACCAGTTTCACCAATTGATGAAGGTAGGCATTGGCTACACGCACCCTGTGACTGTTGTCTAGCAAGTTACTTACCGCAATCACAGATTGGTGACATTGCCGGCCCGATCTTCTACAACCTTGCGACTCTATGCATTAAACTATCGCTATGTCTCTTCTACCTACGCTTCTCCGTTTCCAGAGGGTTCCATATCGTCATCTACGCACTCCTGGCTGTCTGTGTCATTTATAGCAGCCTTGCCGCGTTCGGTTTTGCCTGGGTGTGTCAGCCCAAAGAAAAATACTGGGACTTTAGCATCACGAGCGGATCCTGTGTCGACCTTGATGCCTTGTTCTTGGCCAACGCATGTATCAATGCGGCGACGGATTTCGTACTCCTGGTTCTGCCACTGTTTATCATCAAAGATCTCACCCTACCCAAACGACGCAAGATTGGTGTAGCACTCTTGCTAATGACTGGTTCTTTGTGAGTTGGCCATTTGAAGTCATCCAATGAAGCTTTAGACTGATTGCATCGCAGTGTTCTGGTTGTCAGCCTAATCAGAGTCGAAGCTGTGGTTAGAGGCATGGGCAAGATTGCAAAAGACGGGACTTGGGCCATGGTTACAAACTTCATCTGGATGTTAGTCTACTACTCACAGCACCTCACGTATACATACTGACCTTGGTAGTCTTGTTGAACTATGGATGGGTGTCATTTGCACATGCCTACCTACACTGCACACATTTGTCAAGAATCGATGGGCTGCTCGATGCGCCAAGCTTGTTGCGAAGAATAATAACAATGCTATGCCGGACCACCAATGGATCGGACTACAAGATACCCCAGAGAAACCAGCCGCGGTTGTAAATTTTCTGGATTCGAAAAGTCATGGAAGCGACTCGTCCATGGCTCGAACAATCGTATGCGAAGAAGGTTCCTTGCCCCCTGTTTCGCAAAGCAACACTCGGTCTACAGCAGTTTCAGCAGTGTGAGTTTGGATCATTAATAGTGTCTATACCACTGTAGCTCGATTGGAACAAACCCTATATGCGCTTATGTACACTGGACTTGGATTTTTTTCTACTTTCGCATCCCGTTTGCGATCTTCTCGGCCAACATGTACAACGTGCCTTGTGGATGACCTGGAATACTGAAAGGAACCACCGAATTATCAACAACGCGTAGTCCCTTGACGCCGAACACCTGGCCCTTGGAGTCCACAACTGCGCCATCCTTCGCAGACTTGCCCATTGCGCATGTTGAACTTGCGTGCCAGATTGGCTGTGCGGATTCTTTGATAAACTTCAAGATATCCGCATCAGAAGATACTGCTGCACCAGGTACAATCTCTGGACCAACAACAGAGTTGGCAATGGCACGGCTATTCCAGGCTTCACGCACGCGCTTGAAAGCCGCAACGAGGACTTCTCCGTCTGCGGAGTCAGTTAACCAGCCCAAGTTGATGACTGGTGGATCGGAGATAGATGCGCTATTGATTGTGACGTTTCCTCTTGACAGAGGGGTGAGCAACGTAGCACTAATCGAACCAATGGTTGGGTAGTCTTGGCTGCCACTGGGAAAACCAGAAGCAATGTACTCGATCTCTGGCCAATCCTTGGGGAAATCTGCGAGCAACTTGGTCGTGCGAGATGAGAAATTGCCACGATACTTGGATGGAAGTTTTTCAAAAGAGAGATAGCCTCCTGCGGAGCTGTATGGACCCGAAGCGTTGAAGTAGTATTGCTGTAATGCAACGGCTACTTGGGCGGGCGTGCTGAGATATGTGCCAGTGTTCGGGACGTTGAAACCACGTAGTACATTGAGGAAGATCTGGTCCCAGAGATTCCGGCCCACGCCTGGAAGATCGGAAACGACTGGAATGGAGTGTTCAGCAAGAGTATCTGCGGGTCCAATACCTGTATTGAATATTAGCATGCCTGCATCTCTTGACGAGAAAGATGTTGAAGTAGTTTACCGGATAGCATAAGTAGCTGTGGTGAATGAAACACGCCTGCCGAAATGATAACTTCCTTCTTTGCAGAAAGCACATAACTCGTGCCGTTTGTGGTTATAGCTACACCAGTTGCCTTTTTACCGTTATCAAACAGGACTTTGTTGGCTTGAGAACGCAAGTAGACGACTGGTCCTGATGAAGGTGAAGCGAGCGTATCGAGATAGCTACTCTTCGAGGTACTTCTTGTTGCATTCTTAGGATCGATTGTCGTAGGTACCCACGCGCCTCCATCCAATGCTCCACTGCTAAGTCCTTTGATGCTGAGCTTCATACCAATATCCTGTAAAGCACGTACTAGCCAGCTTTGCGCAGGCTACAGATTTCAAAGTATGGAGTCAGTTCATATATCACAAGCTATTTGGTTGGATCTTTAGACTTACGTCAACCCAGTTCGCCCATGATACCTGCAGCGGGCCACGCAGCGAATTGTCAAACGCTGAAGCATCATATCGCACCGTAGCATTTGGCGCATTTCGCTTCTCCAAGTTCGGTGGAGTGAGCGTACTACTCTTCTTGAAAAACGGAAGGATCTTGTCAAAGACATAGCTCTGGTCTCCCACTAGATCAGCCCAGCGCTGGTAAGCGCCGACGGTTCCTCGGTGGTAAGACATCGTGTTCAGTGCCGAACTTCCTCCCATCGTCTTGCCCTGCGCATAGTGAATGCGCCGGTTACCAGCCGAGGGCTGCGCGGCAGCTACCAAGTCCCAGTCAACAAGAGGCTGACGGGGATAATTCTCTGCGGTCCCGAGAACAGGCATTATGAGGCCATAGTACGGCACTACGGATTGGTTTCCATTGTCTTGCTCGTAGAACCCGCCGGCTTCCACGACGGCGACTGACGCAAAGGCAGAGAGTCGTGTGGCTAAGGCGAGCCCAGTCGTACCACCGCCAATGACTGGTCATCTCAAGTCAGATCACAGGAACACTCCAAAGACATTTTCTGTGGAACACAGTATTGAAAGATTTCCGTACCCACGTAGTCATAAGAAGCGCTTCCAGGTTTGCCCTCACGAATCGCCGCTGCTTGCACACTCGTGATAGAGACGAAGCTTAGCGCGGCAAGACTAGCCCAGCGTGTCATGCTCGGCAGATTAAACGTGAACGTTCTTGGAGCACTCATCAAAATTGCTTAGTCGTACTAGTAAACAGTAATTACCCGTTCAAATATCCTTTGGGGCGCCGATCGCAAGTCAAAGCAAGTGGATAGTGGATATGTTCTGGAAGAAAAAAAAATGAGGCGCAAAAGGGAATTTTCTTTTCTTCCCATTCCTTCGCACACCGCTGTGCCCTTGGACTTGGGTTCTTTAATGAGAGGGAATAGAATAGACCTGGGGGCTGGGTCCCGCTCACCAGCTGAGTCGTGGGCCGTCCTGTGAAGGGCCGACCACGAGCCCACACCAATCACAGAGAAACGGAGACTTACAGATACAGGTACCGGCATATTGGAGGCTTGCATGTTCCCATGTCTCCGGCGCGCATGAAAGATGGCCGCATCGTAACATTCGCAGCTCCATCTAGGCGCGTACTCCGTTCGTGGCTTTTTTGTTCCAGCCCGCCAGCGCCCGCCCGCCAGCGCGCTTGCGGAGGAGGGGACCGTCCAGACCCTGTGCCGCAATGCATGGGTTGCAAGCGTGGTTCATTACACGCTCCCTTGCAAACGGAACTCCACAGCGAGAAGAGCCCCAATGTCGAGAATACGATGCATATCTTGCTGAATGTCGGTCTGTTCAACGTGAACGATGGAGAGTTTGGGTCGAATTGCGTTATTCGGCCGTAAAACGCCCATGTCCCCTCCCACCCCCTTGCCCCCTTTCTGTGCTCACCTTGAACCAGGTTCACGGTCTCTGGGACTTAGCTGTATTCGGCGCGTATGTATGTAGTCAGCCTGTGTCGTGCTTTTCAGATCTAGCTTATTTATAGAGGCCGATTTGGAGTAGTTTGGAGTCTTTGCTTAGAACCAAGCTTTGCTGATAACACGTGGTGGCTTTTTCGTGCTCGCATGTACCGACGTTTGTCAAGTCAGGCGAAATTGAGCAGTGGCCTTTTTGTGTGGGTCGTGGACAATTGGTATGGGGTTTCGAGTTCTTTGGCAGTGGTCCATGCAATGTCTATCACTCCTCTCCACAGAGGGAACAATCGCGTGACTTCGGCTTGGCAGGATGGGCTTCGGGCCGTGTTTTGTGGTACCCGGCACCGTATCCGTTGCAACGTCTTTGTCAGGTGAAATGCAGATATGTAACGTCACTGTGAGAATTGGCAAAACAATTCGTATCGAGTTCAATTCAACTGATTGTTTACGCAAGGGGTTGGTTGAGTGCCATGTCCATTATCTCCTACGACTTGTGAACAGCATCGTTATACTTCCATACTACATAGAATTCAAATTATTTACTAACCGGCCAGCACTTGTAAAGTCACAAGGCTACCAAAAGATTGCAACGCTGATATTATTGTACTCTAAATTGAAGAAGAAAAAAAGAGCCACCGCACAAAATTCCAGTTGCACGCCGCCGCCTTCCTTTTATGCAACATACATCTGCAGTTCACCCAACCAGCCCAACACCGCCCGAGTCCAATTCATTTTGCCTACATCAAAATAGACTTTTCTGTCATGATTATCGCCTTAGTTTTGTCCAGTACAGCGAACATGTCCTCATCTTCCTTGATGCGCTCCCCGCCGCTTCCGTTCATAACGGAAAGACATTGCTGTATATGCAGTTCGTCTCGAAATGTCATTTCGCTGACCGCGTCCCATCCTAGCTCCTTTGGTTCTCCAATGAGGACAACAGGGTCTTCAGGATCAGCTCGTCCCGTCATGGAGGTTACTGCTCCCAATCGATCTCCAGCTCCAGAGCTAACCCGCTCAGTGTAGCTAAAGAGTGAACGTTTATCAGCGCTTGTTCCAAGAATTTTTGGGGAGTAGTCCTTACCGTATTGTGAACGATAGTGGTTTGTTTTCGCTGAATACTTCTTGATATATGGGCAGATGGACTTGTTCAATGTGTGACTGGAAGTCCTCCGGTGTTACTTCGGGGCGACGGGTGTAGAACACCAACACCGTGATTGTCATGTTTGCGATGCCGCGGGGGTTTGAAACAAGGCCTGCCGAGGAGAAAAAAACAAGTAGTATCGCTAAGATGGGCCGAGTCGGAATGTAATGCGGGTTGTAGATGATCGCAAAAGACGGAGGGTAATAGCGGTTTTAGACCTGTCCACGACGAAGCTACTGGCGGAATCACACGCCGGTTTATGTTTTTTTAAACTATTAGCACATGATCGGCTTACCGTCAATGCACAGGCTACATTCCAAAAGGGGTTCAACACGCAGTGCCTGCGCCGAAACTTTGAGGCAAATCATCACACCTGCCTGGCGATCAGAACCACTTGTTGCCTCGTACGTCGTGGCGGGTAGTGGGGCACGTAATGGACGATTCGCTCGAGGCAAGTCAAACGGCTGATACTGACTCTCGATTACTGTTTCCTGTTCTCCTTGCTTCTTTTCCACGGAGCTAGCTGCGGCACTTGACAATTGGCCTGTTTTCGAGACTGTGCCGCACTCCAAAATCAATATTCCAAGACTTATCAGTGGGTACTGACGTTTTACAACAACCAAGTCGTTATTATTCAGTTGACTGTTCCTGCTCGTCGGGGTCGCAGCGACCCCTTGCATAGTATAAGGGGGTGGTGAAAAACCAGTTTGCCATCGAGGCTGGGCAACGGCGACAACGGGCGCTGGCTGGAAAGCCTATTACCCCCTTGATGTCAGTACTCCAGCATCGCGAGTGATAAGATAATAAAAAAAGAGCCGCGTCGGCGGCGTACGACGTCTTGTAGTCGGCATCGGAGCATACCCCGTACCCCTTTTGACCTTTTGACCGTTGGTGGAGCCCGCACACCGATTCCGAAGTGGGTCTCGAAGATTAACTGAATTGGGCACTAATATTTTCGCACCATACAACTAAAGAAGATGAGAGGGTTCAATTCGGTTCGTACATGCAAAACTCAACTTCGAAGCGTCCATTGATGGGGTGTTTGGCGTACTACCCCGCGTTGTGAGGGGTAGCGGACTATCTGCCACCGAAGCATCCGTCCACATGCTCGCAGCGACACTCCACGGGCCGGACCGCGCATCCGAGCGTCACGATGGTACCTCTGCTCATCTTGAGATATTTTGAGATGAAAAGAGCGGCCAAGGTTCAGTGGCGCTGACACTTCTGGCTGAACATTGCCTACAACCACAAATCGACCGAGAAGATGAAGTTCCGCGATGGTACGCATAATATCAAACTGCCAGCATTGATTTATTTAAGTTTTGGCTAATGCAACCTAGGGATGTGGCTGGTCAATGACCGTTTCACAGTCCAGCATGCAGAGGAAGTATACACAGTTACCCCTCGCGAAGACAACAAAGCAATCACACTGCTCTGTCCGAGTAAAAAGATCTTCTCTCGTGGCGATACCCTTAATCTGAGCACGATATCCGTGGAAGTCGAAGCCCAGTTCGATGGCGTCATTTCCCTCGAAGTCACGCACTTTGCCGGTGCGAGGCGGCTTGGCCCGGATTTCGATCTCTTCCCGGACGGAAAGCCCGAATGCAAGGGTGAGATTGTCAAGAAGGACAAAGGTACTACGGTCACCTCAGGGGCGTTGAGCGCCACTGTCAGTTCCAATGAGCACACTTTTGATATCAAATTTCACGCAACTGATGGATCGAAATCATTGACTGCACTTGGCCACCGCAGTGTAGGCCTTGCCTACTCGCCAGCTTTGAGCACACCTAAGACTGCTGGAGATCTGGGTGCTCACAAGCATTACATGTTCACTCAGACTGACTTGGGCGTTGGTGAAACAATTCATGGGCTTGGTGAGCGTTTTGGGGCCTGGAACAAGGTCGGCCAAAACATTGAAGTTTGGAATGAAGATGGCGGCACATCGAGTGAGCAAGCTTACAAGAACGTGTCGTTCTGGCTGAGTTCCAGAGGCTATGGTGTCTTCATTGATACTCCCGATAAGATTGACCTGGAAATTGGAAGTGAAAGGTGTGCTAGACTGCAGACTACAGTGGAAGGACAACGATTGAAATGGTAAGATTACCACGTCCTCTGATATGACAACGATTGACTCTTAAAGGTATCTTATATATGGCCCTACTCCAAAGGAAGTGCTCACAAAGTACTCCATCCTTACTGGAAAATCAACCCGTGTGCCTGCATGGTCGTATGGACTGTGGCTCAGCACCTCTTTCACAACTTCTTATGATGAAAAGACAGTCCGCCATTTCGTTGAGAAAATGTCCGAATCCAAGATTCCCGTCGAGGTCTTCCATTTCGACTGCTTTTGGCTCCGTGCTTTTCACTGGTGCGACTTCATTTGGGACCCTGAGTCCTTCTCCGACCCCGCAGGTCAAATCACGCGCATGAAAAAAGACGGACTCATCAACAAGGTCAGCGTCTGGACAAACCCATATATCGGTCAAGCAAGTCCCGTTTTCCAATATGCAGCCGACAAAGGCTATCTGCTCAAGAAAACAAACGGCGATATATGGCAGTGGGATCTCTGGCAGACGGGCATGGGTATTGTCGACTTCACGAACCCTGAAGCGTGCGACTGGTTCAGAGACTGCATGGAGAAGCTTTTCGAGGTCGGGGTCGACTCCATCAAGACCGACTTTGGTGAGCGTATTCCCACCAAGGAGGTCCAGTGGCACGACAAGACTGTGGACCCGAACCGCATGCACAACTACTACGCCTTCATCTACAATAAGATAGTCTATGAAGCAGTCCAGAAGCGATACGGAAAGCACGAAGCCATCCTTTTTGCGCGCACAGCATGTGCTGGCTCCCAGCGATTCCCACTTCACTGGGGAGGTGACTGCGAGTCTACCCCTGCTGCGTTATCCGAGTCAGTACGTGGTGGTCTGAGTCTGGGACTTGCATCATTCGCATTTTGGACAAGCGACATTGGAGGGTTCGAGGGCAAGCCACCTCCTTGGATCTACAAGCGATGGGTTGCTTTTGGCCTACTCAACTCTCACAGTCGACTTCACGGCTCAAGCTCGTACCGCGTGCCATGGCTGGTCGACGACTCTTCTACAGAGCCCGATAGTTGTACTGATGTGCTGCGACATTGGGTGCAACTCAAGCGCAGCCTGATGCCCTATCTCTATGCTCAGGCTGAGGAGAGCGTCGCAAACGGTTGGCCAACTAGTGTTCGTGCGGTGGCTCTGGAATTTCCAGATGACCCCACATCCTGGTACTTGGATCGCCAATTCATGGTCGGTAGCCAGATTCTGGCTGCTCCAGTCTTCGAAGAGGATGGCACCGCTGAGTTCTATCTTCCGCCAGGTCGCTGGTTCAGCTTCTGGGATGGCAAAGAAGAACAAGGTGGCCGATGGGTCAGGGCAAAATATGGCTTTCTCCAATTGCCATTGTTCGTTCGTGAAGGCACTGTGTTGGTGCTCGGACAAACTCAAGGCGAGGGCGGCTTCGGATACGACTGGCTCGCTTCTGGCGGCGAGGTTAGGCTCTACGGCGTAAAATCAGGTGATAAAGCAGTGTTGGTGGATACCAAGGGCGAGCACAAGGGTATCTTAGAGGTCGACACCAATAGTGAAGTCAAAGGCATGGATGTGCTGAGCGGGGATTGGAAAGTCTCGAAACTGGGATAGTAAGGGCAGCATAGCGCTAGTTTGTGAGGGGGTCATGCAGTTCCGCGGGACAACACTCATTATGCAACATAGGGATCCAACCTTAGGGATTAGAACTGCAGTCATGTTTGCTGCATCTTTTGAGTGTGAGCCGTCCAGGCTCTCATTATGCATGCTGCCTATTGGCGGAAATTCAACATAAATCCCCGCCCCTCCCACTACTGCACCCCAGCATCATTCCACTCTTCCCCCCGGATTGTGTTTCTTAGTGATCGGCAACCCGCACCCCCGCCAAGCCGCACGTTGGAAGCTTATGATGGGCAAATTGTTGGAAACTAGGAGCGGTCTTCCGGCTGAATGCTTGCTGTCTAATACTGGCTGGATGGCGGGATGACCAACATGCATCGATACTTTGCATCTCGGGGCAATTGGTACCTTGGCCAACAGCTTCTTAAAAGCCGCGGGGTACCAGCAGTATCGAGTTATCCCTTCTTCTCTCTCAAACTGATTCGAGGACCAGCGAAAAGATGGGGCTCTTTTTCAATTTGGCCCTTGCCATTTTTGCTGGCACGGGTAGTTTTCTCTTCGGATACGATTCGGGAGTGATGACTATTGTCATTCAATCCGAAAACTTTCAAAAATTCTTCAGAACAGATGTAGCATCGCCGATTATAGGTGCTGTCAATGCTACGTTTTCGGGTGGAGCCTTTTTCGGCTCGTTGATGTAAGGGTGGAGCCTTTGTTGAAGAGGCGAGTTGTATTGACAATTGGCAGGGGTGGGTTTACTATGGACAGCGTGGGTCGGAGAAAGACCATTATGATTGCCGCTTCCATCAATCTTGTTGGTGCAATCCTTCAATGCGCCGCACAAAACCTCGCCATGATATTGGTTGGGAGAATCATGGCCGGATGGGCGGTTGGTCTGCTGTCCATGTCAGTGCCCATTTACCAAACGGAATGCGCTCATCCGAAGACACGAGGTCCGTACCAACAAGAAAATGCTGACTTGTCCAAAACTAAACTGAATAGGTCTTATCACTGGCGTTACCCAGCAGATGATTGGAGTAGGGTTTATCATCTCGACCTGGGTAGGATATGGCTCCTCGAAGGTGCCGGTTACGAATTCCTTCTCTTGGCGTTTCCCACTTGCATTCCAATGCGTCCCATGCATAATTCTCATTGCCGGCATACTGTTCTTCCCGGAGTCCCCGAGATATCTTGTCGAAACAGATCGTGCCGATGAAGCGCTGAGAGTACTTCGGAAGCTGCACTACGATGGAACCAACGATGACTGGGTCCAAGCTGAGTTCAATGAAATCAAGATAACCAGCGATGCGGAGCGGGCTATTTCCGCACCGGGATGGAGAATCATGTTTACAGTGCCTGCGTGGCGCACGAGATTGATGCATGCTACTCTTGTACAATTCTTTGGGCAAATGACTGGGTACGTTCTTCTCCAAAAACTTACTATTTGCTCCAAACTGACAGTGGCGCAAGTATCAATGTCATTGGCTACTATAACACGATTCTTTACAAAAATCTAGGCATCACTGGCGATAAAAACCTCCTTGTCACAGCATTCTACAACCTCGTCGGCCCCATTTGCAATCTTTTCTTCATCGTCTTCATCCTCGACCGAGTTGGACGTAAGAAGCCTCTGCTATTTGGCACTATCGGTATCTCTATCGCGCTCATCTGCGAGGCCATCATCGGATCTCAAGTCGAAGGAGCTACCGGATCGCGGAGAGACTCACTATCTGGCGCCGGCATATTTTTCCTGTTCCTCGTCTCATGCATTTTCAGCGTATCATTCGGTCCCATCTCTTGGGTTTACGCTTCCGAAATCATGCCGCTGAGTATACGCGGACGTGGCTCGGCATTTTCGACTGCAGTTGGTAACTGGCTCGTGGGCACAATCTGGAATCAGGTCTCGCCCATTGGCTTGAATGATATCACCTACAGATTTTACTTTATTTTCGTGGCCTTTAACATTTGCGTTACATTACCCACGATTTGGTTCGTCT